AACCAACCAACCAACCAACCAACCAACCAACAAGCCCACAAACCAACAACAAACAAACCAACAACCAAACAAACAAACAAACAACGCTCAGACGTCCTGTAAACGCGCGTTTTTTTTTCGTTCTTTCCCCCCTGTAATGGCCGCAAAAACGCGCAAATCACATGGTTTTTCACAGGTTTCGAGCAAGTCCAGCAAAGGGTGGGCCGGATGTCCGAGTGGAACTGCAAGAGCAAGGCCTATCCTTAGGTGACTCCAAATCAACACCTGTTATTTAAATGGTCGCACTCCCAGAACCATGTACAGAATTAAAAAGGCTGACACCCCCACCCATTAAATTTGTTGGCATTATCCCTTAACTTTCTTCTACCCGGGTTTCGAGCAAGTTGGTCAAGTGCCTCTCTGGCAAGCAAAGATGGTGCCGGCTCAGGGCGCCTGAAACCATCCCATCGCTCATGCAAACTGATCAAAAAGAGCTTACCATTTGGCTGGCATGGATTCCGTGCTGCGCGGGTGCACTTGAACGGGTGTTCTTACCATTTGGCTGGCATGGATGCAGCGGGTGTTCTTACCATTTGGCTGGCATGGATGCAGTGCTGCGCGGGTGCACTTGAACGGGTGTTCTTACCATTTGGCTGGCATGGATTCCGTGCTGCGCGGGTGCACTTGAACGAGTGTTCTTACCATTTGGCTGGCATGGATTCCGTGCTGCGCGGGTGCACTTGAACGGGTGTTCTTACCATTTGGCTGGCATGGATGCAGTGCTGCGCGGGTGCACTTGAACGGGTGTTCTTACCATTTGGCTGGCATGGATGCAGTGCTGCGCGGGTGCACTTGAACGGGTGTTCTTACCGTTTGGCTGGCATGGATGCAGTGCTGCGCGGGTGCACTTGAACGGATGTTCTGCGCGATACCGGGTGTTCACCATTTGGCTGGCATGGATGCAGTGCTGCGCGGGTGCACTTGAACGGGTGTTCTTACCATTTGGCTGGCATGGATGCAGTGCTGCGCGGGTGCACTTGAGCGGGCGTGCCTATCGTGAGTGTGAATTTCCATATAATTCCCGCGTTTTACGTGGTAGTGGCCGGACATGCACGAAACCTGTGAAAAACCATATGATTTGCGCGTTTTTGCGGCCATTACAGGGGGGAAAGAACCAAAAAAAGCGCGCGTTTACAGGACGACCGAGCCACAAACAAACAAACAAACAAACAAACAAACGAACGAACGAACGAACGAACGAACGAACGAACGAACGAACGAACAAACAACCAACCAACCAACCAACCAACAAACAAACAAACAAACAAACAACCAAACAAACAAACAAACAAACAAACAAACCAACCAACAAACAAACAAACAAACAAACAACCAAACAACCAAACAACAACAACAACAACCACAACGACGACGACGACGACAACAACAACAAGAACAAGTTGTCTCGTCTCGATTCGCCGTCTCGGCGTCTCCGGGGGAGGGGGGGTCGTGCCTCTTGCTTGGCTCCTTGCGGATCGTTGAGGCCAAACATTTTGCTTCGAAAGGGGGGCCACGTGTGGCAGTTAAACCAGGCAATGGCAGGGATGGTCAAAGGAGTTCGGACTGGAGCCATGGCCCACAGGAGTTGCGACTATTGCGCACGTGCGTAACCGACATAAGGCGCTGCCCAGGAATTGGGTCCAGGACCGCACAAAGGAGGTCCATTTTTTGGCACGCCCGTCATTTGCAGGACTTCCGGGTTCGTTTTTGTCAAAGACCACCCCAATCGAAAGGACCCTGGCGTACAAAGGCGTTAAAAACAATGGGTCTTCAGCTGGAGCAGTTTACTCTCCCCCAAGCATCGTAGATCGTTCGCAACTTTTTTTGGCGGGCAGAGGGTTCTCCTCTGCTTGGATGCCGGGCTCAGATTTCATTACCTTCCCCAAGGCCACACAGACCACCCTTCCAAGCAAGGCCACAAGAGCGGTGCACGCGCGGGTGTGAGTGTACACATTGTATCTCCTTACGCTAATTATACATATACACATGTATTTGTATTCTCTTGGCAGTATCTCTGGAGTTAGGCCATAGCGGTTTCCAGGTCCAAGCGTCAGACACTGGAATCTCTCTTCCTTGTTTTTTTGTTTTAGCGCGGGGAGGGGGGGGAGGAGCGTGCCATTTGTTTTCTTTGGGTGCCTTTGGTTTGGGTGGGGTGGGGGTGCCATTCATGAAAGCTTTTCTTTTTCTTTTCTTTTAGGTTTTCCTACCGCTTTCTTGGTCGGGCTGGGGTTGCGCCAAGTGCAGGCTTTCTCAGCGGGCTCCACTACTGGACGCAGGAGCTGGGCTGGGGGCTTGAACGCCATATGGGTCAAAAGAAGCCCCCCCTTTTCTTGGAGTTGGTACCCTTTTTGGGTTGGTTTAAGGGAAACAAAAAGGACAATCAACCATGTTTGGGATTCCTCTATTTTGAGACACATCCAAATAGTTTCCTTTTGGTTTCCCTTTCAATGAAGGTGAAAAAGAGTATGCTCAAAAACAACGCACAAACCCGTCCAAAGACCCTCCCAACCACTAAGGCTTGTGGGCTTGTTTGGCATCCTTAGCAAAGGCAGCCTTTGGGGTATGTAGGGACCGTGATTCCGGCGTTCTGATCAGTCAGTCACCTTGGAGTTGATTGGTTCCACGGCCAAACCGCCCTTTTACTTCATGTTTGGGGTATGGTCCATGGGAACGTCACAAAACCACGACAAGAAATCCGGAGGCCGGATGTCACCCCTGAACATCAGACCCAAAGACTCCCCTTCAAAAATGGGGGCGGTCTTTGGGGGGTCTTTTGGGGGTTGGGCTTTTTGCTTGTGCTCAGAAGGTGACGTGCCTTGCGGCCTCAGAAGGAGGCCACCGAAAGACTTGGACTGGGTCTTTGAGTCTTTGAGGGGCACCATTTGTTTAAACACCCGGGTGCTGGTCGCCTTTGAGGGAAAACCAAACGGAGGTTTTTTGATCGAAGATGGTTTGAGTCGTCAGCAAACTTTTCGTTGTAAGGGCCTACATGTTTAGACTGGGTTTGTGGGGGGTACTTTGAAACCAGATTACGCCATGATCAGAGGACAACGCGCGTGATTCTTCAGCCCCACTGTGGATGGGCGAAATCCTGCGCCACCTAAGAAGCCTGGAATGATGATTCCCCTGAAAATACCAACAGACAGTGGACTGCCTTGGATTCAAAGCGGTGCGGTGCAGGATTTCGTCCATCCACATTTTGACTGTACCGCGCTTCAGCACGCCTTCGGTAGGACGAGATGGACACGTTCACGGCGAGGAAGCGCAACCTGTCAGGTGTGGCCACAAACAGGCGGGAGAGAGGGAGGGAGGCGTGGGTTCTCATACCGGGGCCAGGAAAAAACTGGGCGAACAAAGGAAACCTCACCCACGACCATCCCCACTAACCCCAAGTAAAAGGGAGTCTTGAGCCTGGAGCAACTGAGATCAGGTAAACTACTCGAACTTGCGATGATTGTAATTGATTCCCCTACTTTTTGTGACTGATTCCCCTACTTGACAACTGTTTGTCTGACATATTCCCCGTGCCGTTTTTACATCACCCGGAAACCCTTCGACATCCCTCGCTCTCGCTTTTCGCGAGCGCAAGGCCGGTCTCGTCCTCCCAGGGGCTCTTGTTCGCCCAGCTTAACGCGGCTTGGTCGGTGTATTTCCAGCGCGTGCTTTTTTTCTTTTTTCATTTTTCTCATGTTTTTTTGGCTTTTACCTTCGGGTTTCTACGGCGCACGGGGTGGACGGGGTAGTCCTCGGATCCCAGGTGCCCCATTGGCGGCTTTTATGGGAAGCCGAATGGGTTTGTCTCAAAACCTAGGGGACCTCCAAAAAACACTTTTTGGGTTCTTGTAGACCAGCCAAAAGGGGTTCCCGTGAAAAAGACACCCACAGCGACAGCCATGGGGGTGAGATGCGAATGGTTTGGGGCATTTGCGGGAGGGTTCCAAGCTGGTTGCCTCAAGCCTTTGTTGGATGATCAATGTTCCTATGCTGGAATTATCCAACACTCCCCGATCCCATTTTCGGATGAGTGCGAGCTCCCCCCCCGCGCCATCCGGCAAGGCGTGCTTCCTTGTTTGCCTTTGAAAACTCCTTGCACAGTCTGACTCGCCTGTGTTGACCAACTTGGACACTCCGAATTGAAGCTGGGTGAACGAAGAATGCCTGGGGCAAAGAAACGGGATCCTTTCAGGGTGTCTGTCATAGAAGAGGTCCCGCTGGCATAGAAGAGGTCCCAGTCCCTTTAGGAGGGGTTTCGAAATCGAAATCAACCAACCAACAGAGGGTGCCGTATTTTTTCAGGTAACCCGAAATTGATGCTTTGGATTGGTGGTTTGGGGATTTGAACCCCTGGTTTTTGTAGAGGGTGAATGGGACATCACCCCGTAACCCCGAAGCCGCCAATCCGAACCCAGTACCGGTGAGCTCAAAGGGCGTGGCTTGCGGCGTTTGCTTCGGCCCGTCTCAGCCCTGCACAGCGCGTCTCGGTATGCTGCCCGCGTCTCAAACATCCTCCGCACCTACACCACACACCTACACCACACACCTACACCTCCACGCCGCTACACCTCCACGCTTCCACACCTCCACCTCCGTAAGTGGTACAAAGCCTGCACACCTCCAAGCACACCTGAACATGCCCTTCACTTGTGGCTCAGTTTCCAGCATAGGCACTAAAAGCTTCCAAGTCGAGTCCCAACGTCCCCACTCCGCCCCCAACTCCCCTCTGCCTAGCCTAGATTCCCCCGGCTGTTTCAAGAAGCCCTTCACAAGTCACCTGGTCGATTTTTCCGGGGACCGGAGGTTCTTTTTTTCTTGGGTTTGGGTGATACGTCGACCCTTTTCGCACCGAGGACTGGATGAAGGGAGGCTTCCTGGGGCCCACGGCGCCTTGGGCTGCGGCCAGGTTGTGGCGACCATCGTGGGTTGGTAAAATGCTAAGACCTACTTTTAGTAGTGAAATCCGATTTTTCCTTTAGCCAAGAAAGGAAACCATCATATTATTCCTGGACATGAATCCCCTACCAAACGGGCCCCCATTCAAACCCACGTTGACCTCACTGATTTGAGACCCAAGTGGACCCCCAGATCGGATCTATGGGACCCTAAAGATGGCTGGGGCCTGTTTTTGGAGGTATGCAACGAAGGTCTTTGGGAGACCCGCGCGGTGAGGGTAAGATCCTTTGATACGAGTGAGTTGGCCACAAGAAACCACCGGCCGGGAAGGCCTGATTTGCGCGGTCCATGACCTTCCAAGACCTTGAACCCAATAAGCCAGTAACTGTTGCCATTGGGGGGATCTTTGACCGGGGGTCGTTTGTGGGGAGGGGGCGGGAGAGTGGGGTGGGTATTCGACCCGTGTGCATCCTTAGTTGCTTGTCCATCTTAGTTCGGTGTGTAAACGGTTGGCTTTGTTGGGCCAATCTTTAACCATGCTTCCAAGAGTCTTTGGCCTTCCTTATTCGGGTCCTCGCATTTTTTCTGTTGTGGCCGTTTGCCCCTTTCTACCCGGGTGCTTGGACAACCTTGAGAAAACTTGGATTCCAGAGCTGAAGAACTGTGTGTGTTTTCCTCACATGTGTGTGTGTGTGTGCGCGTGTGCGCGTGTGCGCGCGTGCGCGCACGCGTGCGCGTGCACGCGTGCGCGTGCGCGTGCGCGTGCGCGTGCGTGCGTGCGTTCGTGTGTTCGTGTGTGTGTGATGTGTTGCGGGTACCTATTGTTTCAAAATGAAGCCAAACACCCAACAATCTTCGGGATACCCCTATTTGGAGACCACTCACATTGGCTCTTTACCCTCTTTGTTCCCTCAAAAGTCTCGAAGGTGCAAATCCGCAATGGGCAGGTGCATGAGAGAACCAAACACCGTCGCCATGAACCAGTTGCCAGTAAGAGAGCATTTTCTAGCTTCTCACCGAGGTGTCAAAATTGGCTACCTTTCTTGAATATTGCTAATGTCATTTCCGGTCTCGAGGACGACACTCGGCTTGTCGAGCGGAGGCTTTGGTACCACTACCACAGGGAAACAATCAATCAAACAAAGAAATAAGCAGACCGACAGGCAGGCAGATACACAGGCAGGCAGGCAAGCAGGCAGACACAGATAGACAAACAAATGTTTTGTTTTCTTTTGGTTTCTCCTCAAGCAGCATGAATCAGGACTCCCACATTTCAGGATTCAGCCCACTTTCTGGTACAGAACTGAAATCCAGGTGAAAGTTGTGAGATGTCAAGAAAATGTGCCAACCAGTTCCCCGAAAATTCCTGGCAACTGTGCCAAAGCAGGGATATGGACCCAACAAATGGGGAAGGGGGAGGGTACCACAAAAAACAATTACCCAAGTGTCTGGAAAGAAGGCAGACGCTTGGCCATCTATGTGGGTGTGTGTTATTTTGAGGGTGCACTTTTTACCTTGGTTCAAAGGAAAAGCAATAGGGCAATCACCTATGTTGGGTGTCCCCTTTGGCACAGGCGCATGTGCATCTAGGCAGGATATCTGGTGGTGGACTGGCTGAATTGGAACCCCAACCACGAGATCGTGAGCTGGGTGGTGCTCAAGTTCCAGGCTGGCAAAGTGACCTCCCCCTGTTCTGCAGAATTTTGAGATACAAAGCGGGCTGTTGTGGGGGTAAACCGACTTTTGGGGTGGTTTCTTGTTTTACTTTTTAACCCACCATTTGGAGCCCCTTCATATGTTTTGGGACCTCCCGAAGTGGCAGTTTTGTTGGAACCCACCAGCAAACTGCAACCGTAGAGGACATCCAGGCCTTTGGACCCACCAAACATTGTCATGTCGACCTAAGTTGCGGTATTTTGCTGGAAAAGATCCATCTCCCTGTGTCCTTATCCAAGAACCAAGCTCTAAGGCTTTCAATCTTATCTCACCCCCCTTCTCTGTTTTGCATCTTCAAAATCAACATATGGTATGCTTTGAGGTCCGACCTATTCGTGGTTTCACGATCATTGGACAGCTGTATGCATCCCCCGTTAAAAAAAAGCAACAAGCGTAAGCATTTTTTTGAAGGTATGCTGAGTTTTAGCCTTCTAGGAAGGTGGCCACACCAGCATCCTGTTTTATCCCGTTTTAGTGGTTACCCCGGGGTCGAGTTGTCCAGCGCCGCTCACCCCAGCTCTCTCGTCCCGCCACGAGCGTCAGGGACCCCAGACGGTTTCCGAAGGGTTCGGGGCTTAAGCCAAGGCCAACAACGGCCAAGTAAGTACCTTTAAAAAAGGTTGCGAAATATGTTGGGTCGCCAGAGCTTGTGGCCCTAAGCAAAAGCTCGTATTATTGAGGGGGGTGGGGGGGGTGGGGGGGGTTGGGGGTGGGGGTGGGTGGGGGGGTGGAGTTTGGGAGGTTGGGTTGCTTTTTTCGGCTCGCCTTGCCACCGAGGAGTTCGACTTGGAGGGTAGCTGCACATTTTTTGGAGGGAGACCCCCCGAGACCCGAGCCTTTGCCAAGAATTCGGCCTTCTTAGCCTTGGGCTTCTTGACCCCGAACTTCGAAGGGGCCCCTGACCATTCTTTCCTAGGATCCTTAGGGATGGAACACAGCGGCGGCGAAAACGAGCGTCGAAACGGGACCAGCTTCCTGGATGTGTCAAAACAGATGGTGGTTTCCTATTGGCCCACACCCAAACTCAAAAAATGGCGCTCTCCCTCACCGAAATACTCACCTTGATGCAAATGGACACCTGGAGAATGGAGGCTTAAGGCTGGCTCAAGACCAAACAAGTTTCAAACCAGGCGAACTGAGGCCAAACATGATTTAACTGGGTGCTACGTTTTTTCTTGGAGCTCTTTGGGGTAAAGGACCACCGGCCGAAAAAGAGGCCCAATCAAAGGACCACCTTCAAGCAACAAGCTTGACCAACCCGGAGTTCCGAACTAGGGTTCGGTTGGCCTCAGAAGCGCGTGGCCCAAAGCGCAAGCGCCCCGAACGCGCCGAACGCGCAGGTGGAGGCCTCTGGCCTGGTGGGATGCACGCGCAGCATCAACCACCTGGTGATCCCGGAGCGACGTTGTCAGTTGGTGTCAGCCCTGTCTTTTGGGTCCCATCGCCAACTGTTCTGCTCCGGAGTTTCGGACCCAACTTAGAAACTCCTGAACAGGTTCTACTAGCCTTACCATTGTTTGAATGGTTGGATTCCCAGGGTAGAGATCAGCGGTTAAGGACCTGCCAACCATGGCCTGTGCTCTGAATCAGTGCTGGACATGCTAACATGAGTATCCAAAGAGGGGTTTGGACCGTTTTCGTGGTAAACCACAAAAAATGATACGTCTTTTCTGGCCACTACACTCAGGAAGCGTTTCCCTGTTTGAACATACGGTTCTCAATTACACCGAGCTCACAGCCGTCTCCTGAAGGAAGCTCAGTTTCAATCAATCAAAAGGGATGTTGAAAACAAACCAGAAGGAGAAGTCTAGTCGAAGTCCTTTTCCTAAGCTGTCTGAGTAAGCTGCCCCTTGACGGCTTTGGACCAATCCTCCAAAGACCTGACAGCTAACAAACTTCGAGGAAGGAGTTACCTGAGTGAAAGGCTCTAAGGGGTCTTCGGAGCGGTCTGGGTCCTGATGGACAAGATCCACTGCGTGAAGGTTGGGATACATAAAGCCCTGCTGTGGATGGTTGCGAAATCCATTCTGCACTCCCTTGGTTCAAAGCGGTGCGAAATGGATTTCGTGCATCCACAGCATGAACATTAAGATTTGGTCAATCCACACTTGAAACTGGACTTTTCAACCAAGGGAAACCAACTCCGCGCTGACCTCCAGTTTCAGACCTTTGGCGCCTTTTTGGTCTCCGTGGCTCGCTCGCGCAAACGCGCATCGTTTCTTGTTTTGGCACCTTTGGACCTGCGAGCCGCAGCCACGGGCCCGATTCGAGTCGAAACTTTGGGAACTTCTTGGCCTTCAGAAGACTTCTTGCCTCAGGGCGCACTCATTTTTGTCTTGACTGGTCCACTCGTTTTTTTTCTTCCCCACCCGACAGGAAGGGGTTGTTAGATTTTCTGTTGGAATCCGCGTTTGCGATGCTTCTACACCACGCCCCCACCCAGTATCCCGCCAGAGCAGTTCGCCAGTGGATCCCGCCGAGTATCCCGCCAGAGCTGCTCGCCAGTGGATCCCGCCAAGTATCCCGCCAGAGCTGCTCGCCGGTGGATATCCCGCCAGAGCTGCTCGCCAGTGGATCCCGCCGAGTATCCCGCCAAAGCGGCTCGCCAGTGGATCCCGCCGAGTATCCCGCCAGAGCGGCTCGCCAGTGGATCCCGCCGAGTATCCCGCCAGAACGGCTCGCCAGTGGATCCCGCCGAGTATCCCGCCAGAGCAGCTGGCCAGCGGATCCCGCCCAGTATCCCGCCAGAGCTGCTCGCCAGTGGATCCCTCCGAGTATCCCGCCAGAGCAGCTCGCCAGTAGATCCTGCCGAGTATCTCGCTGAGTATCCCAGAGCAGCTGGCCTGGATCCCGCCGAATATCCCGCCAGAGTAGCTCGCCAGTGGATCCCGCCAAGCGTCCCACCAGAGCAGCCCGCCAGTGGCTGAGTATCCCAGAGTAGGGGATCCCGCCAGTATCCCGCCAGAGCAGCTTGCCAGTCTGGTTTTGCTTAATATTTCGCCCGGCGCACAGTTGGGTTTACATTTCATGTTGGTGCCTTCGTGTTTTGAGTGTGCCCTGAGGCTCGGAAAGGGTGATGTTGCTTAAGGTTGTGAACAAACAACTTCGGTTAACCCCCCGTCGGGTTTCTTTTTTGGAAGGGGCTTGGCTTTTGTTAACGGAACCGAAGTTTGAGTTCTCGAGATCGGCTCGCAGACAAGTGGAGTTTGACACACAGACAAGTGGATAAGGCTCTCAATGCAAAGCTTGTTGAGCAGTCATAGGCCCCAAGCCACTCGAAAACTATGCTTGAATTCACACAAGCGTGTTCACGGTCGTAAGCTCGTGAGTGTGGAGGGTGGGGATTGCTCAAAGCGAAGTATTGCTTTTTTTTCTCGCCCGGACGGGTCACTGCAAGCTTTTGCCGCAGGAGTCTGACGTGGAGGTGGTGCGCAGGGATCCGGGGAACATGCTGTGGCCTGGGTTTAACGTGTGGCATGCCGTCTACATCCTGCTGGTGGGTGCTTCGGCAAAAGAAGGGCTTAAGTTTTTCCAGGAAACCGGGGAGAGGGGCCGGGGCTTGGGGGCGTAGCGGCTAGAGGGACCTTATTCTGAAGGATTGGGTTAGGCGTTGAATGGTTGGGGAAGGGGGGGGGGGTCTGGCAACAGAAGAGCCAAACGCCCCGATTATTCTCTCCCATTCAATCTGAGATAGAATGACTAGGACCTTCTTTGTGCCACATTGCAGGGGCTCTTTGCCTTTCATGTTTGTTTTTCTCGGTATTCTTCTTTAGTGTATGTCTATTCTGCATTTCAATCTGCTCATATATCATCCTAACATATCCAAACAGTTTCACTAAAACAAAGGACATTTAGGGGGAACTCTCGTGGTATGGCAATGAATTGAAAGATAGCTCTTTGACGGAAGGCAAGAGAAGACTAAGCGCACACACACACACACGAAAACATGATCGCGGAGTGCATTCAGAGTCGGGTCACTGGCACGAGCGCACGCGCTTTTTGTGACGTGCGAACGCATGGTAGGCACAGCGCTTTGGAAAGGTCAGATGCAGATTTCGTGGCAGGCGCCGCTCTTTCACAAGGCCAGGTGCAGATCTCGTGCCAGTACAGATCTCGTGGCAGGCGCAACGCTTTGGCACGGTCAGGTGCAGATGGGTAGATAGACAAGTAGATAAATGGGAGACTCAACAGATGTATGCATTGATAGATAGACATATTGGTAGGCAGGTAGACAGAGAGATATATAGATAGATGGATAGATAGCTAGAAGTTCATAGATGGATAAGTATACGGATATCTAGATAGTTAGTTAGAACGATAGGTAGGCAGATAGAGCGAGAGACTAGACAAACAATTAAATCGAGTGACAGATTTGACAGGTAGATGAATAGGCAAGCACGTAGTTAGATAGAAAGGTAGACTGGCAGATAGATGGATAGATAGATAGATAGATGGAAAGATGGAGAGAAGAGAAGGAGAAAGAGGCAGACGACAAAGATATTGAAGCTAAGTAGAAAGAGGAAGACAAACAAGCGAAACAAATATAAAGAACAAGATAAAAAAAGGGGTTAGAGAGCGATACAGAAAGAGAAAGAGAAAGGGAAGAGAAAGAGAGAGCGAATGAAAAAGCGAGAGAGAGAGAGAGAACGAGCAAGCGCAAGAGAGAGAGAGAGAGAGAGAGAGACCTCTTGCTTTGGCAGGGGGTTCCAGCACCAAGAAAGTTTGCCCTCTTTTCGCATGGCCACTGTGGGGAGAGAGGGTGCATTTTTTGTTTCTTTGGGAAGGGGTGCGTTTGGTTCCCTTGGCGTCCTTTGGCATCGCAGGCTACTTGGTGTGCAAGGAGCTGCGGCTTGGAACGCAAGAAGCTGGCCAACCCTGACAGCGCGCGACATCTAAAATGTTGTCTAGGCATTTCACAGCTTCTCTGGCCAGGACTTCGACAATCTTAGTAATTGCTACACACCTTAGAAAGCCTGCCAACCCTATAAAACTTCCAAACCCTACGAACCCCTACGAATCCTACAAACCACTCGGGACCCCAAAAGTCCGGGACGCAAGGGTTGGGATAACATCCTAGGCGGGCCGGTTGACCCTCTTTCACTTTTCCCCAAGCTTCGCGGCCTTGCCCAGGTTTCTTTCGTGTCTCTGTTGGGGATACCTGGAATAAGACGACACCTGAACATCTCCAGACTCTTTGGGCGAGTGAGTTGGGGGGCCCATAGATTCAGTAACTCCCACAAAAACTAGGGGACGAGCTCCAATGTTGGCCAGGTCCTTTAATGCTGACCCTGGATCAATCCTATTGTCAACCAAAGGTTTATTGATCCGTCGAACCAAAGGCATATTCTGACCGTGGCTCGTGCAAGAAAGGCGGCTGAAATGGCTTTCCTGTTCCGCTTAGGCTTTTCGTTTCGGCCCCGATGCAAAAGCTTGAGCAGTGCCCCAATGCCTAAGCCATGGTCCTTGCTTTGCTCAACAAAACACACAACGAGCGCAACTGCACTTCGTACCTTGAGACGGCCTGGAGTCAGGAGGCCAAACCAGACAAGCACCTAGAAGACACAAAGCAACAAAACAGTAGAAACAAACAGCAGAAGCCAACACCAGAAGGCAACACAAAGAAAAACAACGACAAACGCCCCCTTTGTGGTTTTCCTTTTCACTCGCCATTTAGCTCGTTATTTTTCTCTGGATGTCACCAAATCGCTATGACGGCTCAGGTACGACTTGGCGCTGACGGGGACCAAGTACTTCTCCTCCGGTTGGCAGCTCATCACCGGCACCGGCCTCCTGCTACACCTCGCGGTCATCGGCCTGAGGTGAGCATCGTGAAACACGGGTGTGTTTGTTGGAGGGTACTTATTTTGGGTTGGCTTAAACAAAAAACCATCGGAACATCACCAAATCTTGGGGGGCACCGCTTTTTTGAGACAAACCAACATGTTGGTTTCTCCCGGGTCACTTTCTGTATACGGGAAATGTGTATTTGTTCTTGACTTTTCGGGCCAATGGCACCCCCAATGGAGCGTAAGGCGTGGGAATCAGTCTTGGTGTGTCAAGTAGTCATGAGAATCAGTAACCTTGATATTGCAGAAATGCATTTTTTTTCCCGGCTTGAACAGAACAAGGACTTGCTCCTTGCCTTGAAGTCAGACAACGCAGCTTTGGCAAACAAGTTGGCTTTCTCCGGACTGAAATTCAACCACTTATGTCTGCAAGTCTCGACTTTTTGCATGGGCGATACACCCAGGAACTCAGGAAGCGAACTGTGGTTTTTCGCCTCGAATTTGGATCCCAACCGGTAAGGCCTCGCTTATTTGGCCTTTGGCATCGGTCTAGGTTGGGGTTTGGCTTCGAAAAGCCCAACGTCAACACTCCTTCACTCCTTTCACCCTTATAGCTCTTTTTAAGGTTTGCACTTGTTCCCAAACTGAATGCTTGGGCTCTCTGCACAAATAGACTCTGGTTTGGAGAGCGGCCGGAAGGGGTTCCGAGAGGGCTCCACTTGGGCACCACTTCAACCCAAAAAACGAACTCGAGTCAGAACCGGCGCCATTGGAGGTACTACCACCACAGCGTGTCAAAGTTCACCGAGAGCCTCGCGACCTCGGGCGCGGACAGCTTCACTCCAGACATCGCCGTCTTCGAGCAGGAGGCCACGTCGTTGTGGAGTTGCTGGGGGTCAAAAGGCAGTGAAGTATCCTCGACAGCGCGAACCCGACACTTCTCCCGTGGCCAACTTAAGCTGAGTTTTCCTTAGCCGGTGATGTCTTTTTTCCGGGAAACATGGGGACTGCGAAGATTCTGGGGACTGGTCTTACTTTTGGTGCCTCCCAACAGGGTTACATTTTGGATTGCCCCCAAGACTTAATCAAAGGGGTTCTCCTTTTGGTGACATCAACAACACCCTCGGTGAAATAAAACGTGGGACCCTGTGTGTTGCACTGCACCCCTGTTTTTGGACGGTTTCATGGGAGACCAAGGGCAAGCCTGCCCTTGGTACAACAGAAAGCGACTCTCAACTCTGTTGTGCCGCATTTATGCTCTTGTCCTTCCACCTATTTCCATTGGCCGAACAAGCTACGGCTCCAGAAACAGTCCCTTTTGCGGACCTCTTCGCGGAGTTTCCCTTTTCGAATGCGTATGTCTTCTTTGTCCACCAGCCCGCCTATCTGTTCAACGGGGGCCAGCAGCTGGGGCGATCTGCCGAGTGGGTTGCTCCATGCTCAAATCTTGAGGGCGCTTCCCTCCTTTACGATCAAGCCAAAAAACGGGTAAGTCGTTCTTTCCTTCAGTTCCTGCCAAGCCCTCTGGCAGTTTCTGCTGGCATCCGTGTGTTTTCCTTTTCCAGCTATCCCCTCGAATAGGAGATTCTCATTCTGTTGGTTGGTTGCTTCTTCTCGTCCGAAAGAATACCCCTTAAATGCAATGAACCCAAAGTTGTGCATCAAACCTAGACCAACATTTGAGCTCATTCGGGGTTGAAATGAGCTCTCCTATGAGGGTGCCTTAGGGGATTTTGCAGATTTTCGACTTGTGAATAGTTTGAGACACAATGCGGGGAAAGGTGAACTAGAATCAGCCAATTGGCCGGCAGGGGTTGGAGGCTTGTCTCATGGGCAAAGAATGAATGCCGTCATGCGTCGGCTTTTCCCATAAGGGATCCAACCGATTTTTGTCGGGCGAATTCGATCAACACTGCCCAGAGATCACCTGCTTGCGCGCTTCTGGCTGGCTGGCTGGCAGGCGGTGGCCTGGAGCGATTTCATCTTGGCCTCGTGCTTCATGATGGTCTTTCTCTTCGGCGCCCTGGAAAAGAGCAAATGGGGGTCGGTGGACCCCAAAGCCGAGCCCCAAAGACACCCATCCTACTCATGGGCCTCCCCAACGGCGGGGGTGAAGCCTGAAGGTCGAGAACGGCCTTTCTTGGCCCGATTTAGCAATGGGCCTTTCGGGTGTATGAGGTAGCCCTCAAAAGACCACAGCAGATCTGAGGCCATTGTGATATTGTGATGTTGGGAGAAGCTGGCAGTGCAACTGCTGAACCTTAGCTTCACTTCCAGAGGAGGGGTCCTTTGAACCCGAGCCGTCACCAAAGAAAAAGCAAGCCCTCGCCACGGCGCACCTAAACACCTAATGGCTTGGGCACCGGGGCAAGGGTCAGAGTGGGAACGAGGGCTGGGTTCACTGTGATACCTTTCACAAACCTCCTGTTTACATGGATAATTCTTGATTGGTGTCATAGAAGTGGGCTATTCCCAAAGCGAACATTGCAAAATCGCCATGAGCATGGGAAACAACGACTTTGGCCACTCGCAACATATTTTGGGTCTGCTCCCAATTACGACAATCATGGGCAAACTCTTTCGGGACCTCCCTCTTTTAGGACGGCTGCAAAGGAAATTCAAGGGAACACCAACCATCTTAAGCGCACCAACACTTTGCCCTTTCTGCTTCCGGACTCCCGAATTGTTTGTTGCACTGAGCCTTCATTGGTTGTTTTGGATTGGTGGGGATTCGAACCCTTGTTGAAACCAAATGGACTGCTACTCACCCCCCCCGTTCCAGGGCCCCAGACCATCCCCTGGGTTAACAAGCCTCGCCAAGGCCAAAGAAGTTTAAATGAGACCCCACACCCTGGGGATGAGTCAGACGCGCGAGAGGCTCCTTTGTGCAATACCTCAGCGATCAGATCCCCCGCATCGCGGTGTTGGTGGATACCGTCAGCAGGCGCTGGCGGGAGGGGGAAGGCCGGTTCCAGCAAAAAAAAGCAGCGAAGGAGGGCGCGAATGCCGGAAGAGCGGAAAGACCAGCCGCTATCCTTCATTTTCAGCGACAGAAAGGGGGGCCAGTCACATGAATTATCAATTTGGTCATATTGTATGTTGTTCATACAGGTTTGTCTCAAAAAAAGCGACCCGTCTTCTCAGATCAACCTGATTTCAACCATAACCCACATACTCATGACACTGCTTCCTGCTACTTTTTGTTGTATCACTCTGCTGGGCCAAAGTGCCCGCTGCTCGCAGAGCGACAGATCCACGTTTCTTGCTGGTTTTCAGTAGGGAATCAGCAAAGGTTCTGGGAATGAAACTAGGGGTCCCCATAAAGACACCATCTGGATAGGAGTCCACAAGGAGTGGTTCAGTTCGGGGTCATTCCCTCGATCCCCCCTGAGCACCAGCGAGAGTCTCGCAGTTCTGACCATCTGCCATAGGAAGCTGGTGCCGGTGGGAGACATCGGAGAGATGACCAGCTTGGAATTTTGGGAGGAATGTGGGACCCTCTTAACTGCTTAAAGGCGAACGCCGAAAGTCACAATTTTCTGGAAGAGATGTGGTTTGGCGTGCATTGCATGCAGGGTTGCCCCTTGTGCAAGTGACTTGTTTTTGGTGTAAAAGTTGAAGGGAACAAAATGGAAACCGTGAAAACAACCCACCTGGAGACAGAGCAGACAGCATCCGCTTGGAGTGGAAAATCGGAAGGGGAGTACTCTTCCTAGAGTGTGTCACCGTTTGCGTCACAGATCGGCATGTGAGTCGGCAACTGGTGTGCAGGAACGTGCATTTGCACATTTGCAACCACAACCTGTGCGGGTGTGTCCAAAAACAGGGATTCCCAAAGTGCAGGGGTTCCTGTTGGTTTCCATTTAAAACCAACCAAAAAGGGGTTCAAGCAGAAAAAAAGCAGCCATAAAGCTCTCAGATTCTTCAAATTGACGTTTGGTCAATCCCTAAGCGGAAGCCAGATCGGTCAAGCCCCAGGCCCCAACTGATAACAAGCTCAGCCAAGTAAAACTACAACGCCCCCCAAAAAGATCACACCCCATGGTTAGGGCCTTGTTTGGCCATATTTGCCTATGCTTGTCAAAGCCTTTGTCTTTGGGAGCAGTGGCAACCATGTTTTGCTTCTCTATGGCGAATCCAATTCCCCGCAACCTTGAGTCTTTGGCGAGACATACAACACTGACTTCGGGCAATCGGAGGCCTTGGGGACATTTGCAAAAAGCGGCTTTCCGCCCCTGAGATCCACATTCAATCGTGCGCTATTTTCGATTTACCTCGTATTTTTAAGATGTAAGCTAGACTTAAATATGAAAAGAAACTGAGCATCTGCACCAGGACCCTGTTTCCAGGCCTCACCAGCTGCGCGCAGTTAAAGTCCCCCTGTCCTGCATCCCCAGCCCCTGGCAGCCTTGCATCCCCAACACTCGTTGGCCGTTTGCCATGTCGTCTGCCAACCCACTAAACTACAAAGTCATGAATTTGACCTCAGGTGCAGCCTACTCAGCTTCACCAGCTGTACCAGCTTTGTCAGCATCACCAGCATTACCAGCATCATCAGCATCATCAACAAGATCAGCACGCCCACATCACCAGCATCCCCAGCATCACGTTGTTCACACACGTGGTGAAAGAGCTGAACAATAGTGCTCACCCTGGAAAGCACCAAATGGTGGATGATGCTGAACCTGCATTTTCGCCGTTGGATCACCAGCTGAGACTCCTGCCCCACACAAGTCAAATGTTGTTTTTGTTTAAATCATCACCGGCTCTCAACTGACGGGAGTTGAGCCTCGCTGATTCGCCAGGTCCATCACGCCGGTCTTCTTTCTGGTGATCATCCTCTGCGACGTCTTCCTTGGCTTTGTGCGCCTTCGGAAACAACTCAGTTGGACATCTAGGAATCATGGTCAAAGCAGTGAAATGGAAGGCAAAAGGAAGCCAACCATCTTGGGAGTCTCCCAAATTTTTGGCCCCGTCACCCATGTGTAAAAACACCTCTGACGTTGACAAACAAATGGCACCAGCAATTCGGCGGTCTCTAATTTTGAGACAACCCAATGTGTATCATTGTCAAACCGGCTCTGACGTGGCCATGAACCCCTTGAAAGGGAGTTGAGGCAACCGTGAGGAGTGTTTATTTGTCGTCCCAAGACAGGGATCCATTTCTTTCTCAAAGTGTGTAGGGACCGCTCAAAACTCAACTTGGTCAGTGGTTGGGACTCCTTTCCGTCATTTATGCCGTGGTCAAAGCGCAACCCTTCACTTGGGGTTGGTAAGCATGCCTCTGGAACCTTTAAAGCTTGGTTAACTTGGTCTTTGTGGCTTGGACTCCCTCTTCTCATCGTCAAACATATCATTTGAGGTTGGTAGACGTGGCCATGAACCCCTTGAAAGGGAGTTGAGGCAACCGTGAGGAGTGTTTATTTGTCGTCCCAAGACAGGGATCCATTTCTTTCTCAAAGTGTGTAGGGACACCAAAAGGAGTGACTGCTTTGTTCCAGATTCTTGCCCTAAAACTAGTCACAGTTGGGAAAACAGCAACTGGCAACCCAGGTCTGTTATGTTGAGACCCCTCCCCCCCCCCCCATATTTCGCGTTGTCGGCGTAGTCTGAGTCTGGGATAGTCACCAATAGGCTCGGACATCTGCCCTTTGAGAGCGGATCTGACAGGCGTTGTCAATCTCGGGTTAATGAATCGCTAGTCTAGTCTTGGTTTGGGGGACTAGAAAGGGGGGGATTCCCCAAATGTCCAGTTTCAACCACTGGTTTGTCCCGACTGAGGATCTGGTGCAATCTGCTTTTTGGCAAGACCGTGCGGGATTTCACCACCATCCCAAACAGCGCCATCTCCCTCACGGCCCCCCGGCGCGAAATGCATGCGGCGGCTGATTTTTTTGTTTGTGTGGGCCGAAACGACCCGCAAGCGCAACCCCAGCCGCGCATTTGTCCAAGGTGGGAACAGGACTGCGTCTCGGTGTCAAGAGATTTCCATTTGCAAAGGTCTCTCTTCCCTCAAGGTAAACAATTGCCTAACGTGGTACCCGGGCCATGAAACCTGTAAGTCGAATATTTGGCGCGTGAAAGCAAGAACCGGCTGAGGAGAAGGATTTGTGCAGCTCTGAACAACGGGTCATTCATTCGGCATAGCAAGCACAGTCCTTCAGTGGCACCCTTTTTCTTCACAAAAAAGGGTCAACCCCCGCAAGGGTTCTGTTTTTCTAGCAGGGTCGCTAGCTGCATCTGGAAAGGGGAGATTGAATCGCCGGGATGAATCGTCCAGGACTTGCGGGAATCGCTTCGCACGCCCAAGTTTGCGCCACAACTGATCAGAATGTCAACGGGATCAGGCATCGAGGCATGAGGCAAAAGGCCAAAGCATACATGAGCCACCATGGGTGTAATTCCTTATGTTGTGAGGCGTGTTGTGAGAGTGGTTCAGGGCAACCAAAAGGAACGAGATAAACAACAAAGCCAAAGAAGGTTGCATGGGCGTGGTTTTTGTGATCATGGGCACTCTTTTTGGGGTGATCGACAACCGAAAAGAGCCCAACTATGCACCGGATTGATGCACTCAGTCAGGCAAGTATCATAGCCAGATTCAGTCTTCAAACTGGTGATGTTGGATTGATGAGCTGGATCGCCAACTTGGCGAACCTGAATACTGTAAATAAATGCTGAGGTCAGACCACTCACAGAAGTCAGTTGGACCATGAGAAAAGGTCCACCAGGCCACGAAGTTTAATGGCAGACCCTTTCATGTCCACCAACCGCTTTGGAAGGGCTTCACCACTAAAAATCACCAGTTGCACTGAGCCTCTGCTCCCGAGAGGACAGAGGCGAGTTGGCTGTGGGTCAAAACCAATGGTACCATTTTGGTGTAGGTGCACCACCCATTTTAGTGGGGATTGGGATGTTCACTGGGGGTACGGGCTTTTGACCCATGGCCAGTTGGCACCCTTGTCAGGGTTTAAGGGGGAAAACTTGGAATCTGAAGCGCGTTTGACGGCCGCGGCGGGTTGGGCTTAGGGTTGAGAGCGTTGACCAAGTCATGTTTCGAAGAACCAGCTACAAACAAAAAATATACCGGAAACCCTGGTTTATGGCGTATTTGGCTAAAATTTCCGGTCGGATTTCTTGCAGCTTTTTCCATGTTCAACTCCACCATGTTGCCATGGGTGTAGTTGAAAAACTTCACCTTCGTCACATAGATGATGTCTCCCTTCGCGTCCTCAAAAGCCGGTCCACCCCTATGGCAGACCTTTCTTCTCGGATCACTCAGGAGATGATCTTTGGGCGGTTGGATGTGGTGGAGGACGCGGCCTGGGATCTTGCGCTCGCTCTTGGTGGCCACGTTTTGTCAGACTTCCAGGTTTATGGGGGCTGGGGGGGAAGGCGGAGGGAGTCCAAATAAGCCAATAAGGGTTTTTTGGGCTTCCTCCCCCTCCAGCCCATGATAGGTGGACCCATTTCATACCGATGGTTGCGAAACCCGTTTTAGGCAGCGTTCTTAGAAACCCAAAGAGTCGATTCAGCGTGAATACGAAGAATGGTTGAACAACCATGGGTTCAAAGTGGCGCGAAATGGATTTCGTCCATCCACAGTAGTCTTTGACTGCCAGCGGGGTATGGGCCATGGTGCGAAAACCAGGGGACAAGCCCTAATTTTCCCAGTTTATGCCCAGTCTAAGGTTCAATGGACTCACTAGTTTCCGCACAACCCTTGGACGCGCCCAATTTTCCCATGTCCTCTTGGGGAAACGGAGAAATCGTTTGCGGCGCTCGCCCTCGCGGTTCGATCGCTTTGCCGGTGAGCCTTCCAACCGTTTGCCGATATGGCGAAACGAGCTAGCTAGGCCCTCAAGGGGACCCAATGATTACTTGAGTTTTTCTCCAAATAGGAATCGGTCCCCCAAATCGCTGGTGTACTTTGGTTTTCCTTTCACTCCAGGTGCGAATTTCAAGTTTTGGATTTGCGAAACTTGCAGAAGCATGTAAGGCTCCGTTCCGCGCAAGGATTTTGTCTTTGAGTTGGGGACCCGATCCAGACACTCTAAACACTCACAGAAAACAGTCGGGAATCGAAAAGCCTTGTGGCAGGCTCTTGAAACGCATGTTGATTCGTTTGGGGCCCACTCTCGCTTCAGGAGAGTATCTTATCTATGTTGTTTTCAAGATGAGAAGCGGCTCGCTTAGCAGCTTCTCAAATTGGTTAATAGGTCCTTCGGATTAGGACCACAGTAGTAATCCGAGGATCTCCCCAGCATGAATTAATCTCCCATCAAAGGGGGAACCCCCCCTGATTTTGCATGGTCCTCCGGATTCAAAAGTTGACACAAAGCCTAGGTGAAGGTTATTGGCCTTGTTTAGGCGTTATCTTGTCTTCATAACCCTTTGGGGGGGGGGGGCGCGTTTGAGAGGGCCAAAAGCCAATGAGAGGCCAAATCGTTACGAATTTGGTCCAACATAGTAAGGGTTCAGCTTCCTCTTCTTTTTTGTTTTGTTTTGGGGGGCGGGGGCACGCAATCCCATTGTAATCATGTAGATCCATATAGAAAGCTCGTTTCTTTTTTTTGTCCCACACCACAGGTCGCTCTCACGTTTTCCTTCTTTCCCCCGTTCCCCCCAGGAGTTGAGGCAAGCCTTCCCGCTCACCGGCTTCCTTTTCTACCTCTCCTTCATGCGCCTTGACTCAGCGAAATCGCGAAATCGCGGAAGCGCGAAGTTCGCGGAGCCCAGAGACATGGCCCTTTTTCCGCCTCGTTTCCCGTTTTTTTGAGGGGGTTCCTTTCAAACATTTCCTTTTTTTTAATATAGGGGGAAAAACAGCAAGAAAAACAGTTTAGTACTCAGATGGTCCGGGAGCTTGCTAAATGGTTGGCCCTTCACGAGGACAGGGAGAGTCACACTAGATCCCCCACTTTCATGTGGAACACCGCCCTCATCTTGTCGATGAGAATCCTGTGGGAGCAGTCAGTCTCTTTCGGACGGGCCTGCGTTTTAGGGCATCTGGCATTTTCAGGTATGGGTTTTGGAGGTGAGGTGACGGTTGTCTCGGAAAAAGGGAGTATCTATTTTATACTGCAATACAAGCTGATATTTCTGTTTCTCCAAACCATATGAGCCAATCCACGTGTTGTCAGGGACCTCAGAAACACCGGGCCCAAACGAAATCCTTGGGCTGATTTGGAAGGACCCCCCATTGTTTGGTTGACGAAAAGGAAACCAACCATAGGTGTCCTTGTAGGTCAGTTTGGTTGAACATAAATGGCGCTGGTTTGCAGTTTGGTTCCAATGCCATCTATTCTCTCAAACGTAAAACTTGGGACACCAAACATTTTTGGGAGGGGGCACGGTCCCCTCTTTGAGAACCAACCATGGCAATTGTTTTCGGATCCGCGTCGAACCTTGCCAGCCAGATTTGTTCAGTTTGGCCCGGGGGCATTCTTGGGTGTGCCTTTTGTTGTGGGTGCCGTTGTTGGGTGCCCATCAGTTTGGGCGAGCGCTATTTTATAAACACCCAACTGGATGTGGTTCACTTGGAACATTTCGGGCATCCCCGTAGCAAGCTGTCCACACGTGCCCAAATCAGTTGAACAATCTAGACACGCTGGACACCTGAAAGGAATTCACCCATTTCTCATACGCTGAATGTATACCTGAATGTGATGAACTCCTCGTGTATTGCCTCATTGACCCTTAAGTGTGGCTTTAGTGCGGAAAGCCATCCAATAACCGTCATAGGGGATTATCCAAACCCGATTAACGTTGTCCGCTCCGAGAGCCAGCATCCTGAAGACAGGGAGTCCCTGACAAGTGAGAGAGGTGCAACAATTCCATATCTTTTTGGATGTCCCCGGTGCCCTTTGAGTTTTTATCTGCACCCCCCCAAAAAAAGACAAATGGATAAACATAAGAAGAACATAACAACAAACAAACAAAGAAACAAGTAGTGAGAACCCTTTTGGTGGGGTAATGTCCAAATGGGAGCCATGAATTGCAGTTTTTGAAACACCTGAACAGTGGTTGGTGGACATGAACCCTACATGATGTCCACCAAAAGATCCCTAAATTTAGAAAACCATACGAAAGGGTAGGGGATCCTGCTGGGTCCCAAAACCTTGAGTCCAGGGTCTTGTTCTTCTTCATCCTGCAGTACCTCAGCCGCGCCATCGTCTTGACCTCCTTCGATGATGCCAGCAGGACCAACCGGCAACCTACCGAAACGACCGGTGGAATCAAGCCCTATGGGGTTTTGGGCTGCCACTTCCTGCAAAAACTTGCAAACTGGCATGAAAGGATCTAGGACTCTACCAAACCCCCCTGGCAAAACAGCTTGTTTGGTTGAAAGGAACCACTCCCCAACACATAGGGTATATGTATGTAATTGAGGGTACCCTAGACAAGAAGGAGTGCAGAATCAACTCTAGCAGGAATCAACCTCCCAAGTGAGCAAGTAAAACTGGTGCCAGGGCGATGGATGCAGACTGGTCGACTGGTTGATTGCTCGAGTGGTATCCAGACCCATTTCTTTCGAGGCCCAAAGGCCCACACCGCCCTCAACCAATCCCACACCCTGCAGCATTTCCATGGACAGGAGCTTCGAGGACAAGAAGAAAAAGCGGCAGGCGGCAAAGCAGGGCTCTGTGGCGCCCTTGCTGAATTTCTTGAAGTGGCTTTTCTTGGAGCCGTGTTTTGGACGCGGTTCCAAGCATCACCTTTGGTTGCAAGCACAAAGCGAGCTTTCGAACACCGGATGTTGAGGAGCTAAGGTTTGGGAGTTTGGTCTTTGGGGTTTTGGGGCGTTTTTGAGAAAAGTAAGTAGACATTGGCTTGTTCATAGGAATTTGCTGCAAGGACACTCCAGCACGATTGGTTTTTTTTGCAGGGTCCTGGACTGGACCCTGAGAAGAGATCAGAGTCAGTCGGACATTGAGAGGGTGATGAAAACGTTGCAAGCAAATTCTGGGGAAACATCTCAACGCCGAAGATCTTCCATTCACCCCACCAGTCACCCTGCAGGTCAGTTGGAACCAATGGATTCAGTTTCGCCATGGCTAACACAAAGGAGGCAGTGAAAGCAATATTGGTTCAAACATGTTCAAAGGGGGTGACCCAACCCTAGTGTTCAAGAATTTGGTGTCAGCTTGAGATCCATGCGACTTGTCCACCTACCAAGTTTCGGATAGGTCCATTCAAGCCCCGAAATGTAAGCCCTTGCCATTTGGGGGCAGCTGGGTTAGGCTATGGCTCTGGATGGAGCGGGAAAGTGCTAGTCAATTCAAAGCCCCAGTCAAGGTTGGGACATGGCACTAGACTGCAAGCTGTTTTGTTGGCCTGTCCCCTTTTAACCGGTTTAAGGGAAACTAGTCGGAAGCCCAAAAGTATGAAAGCGGCTCTCCTTTGGGATGGTGTGTAGTAGGGCACCAAAAAGGACACTCACCTTTAAGGCCCCTATTTGGATGGCCGGTTTTGACGTCCCTTTCCAGGGCCACAGGAAAGTGGAATTGAACAGCTTTGTTCAAGACAATTTGTTCAGTTGGCGAACAACACATTCTTTTTGTAGGGTTCGCCATTTTGAAGGCCAAGAAGTTCAAGCCTCGGTCAGTACCCTCAGCAGGTCAGGGAAACAGAGCCTGTCGCCGGAGAAGCTCGGTTGGCTTTCCGTTGGCAACGACGCTGACATGGGGTAAAATGGAGGGGTCCCTTCAAACAACCACAAAAACAAAAAAAAGCCTTGGGGAGTCCAGCCGATGATTTTCAACCACACGCGGCGGGGGGGGGGGGGTTAGAGATGTCAACTGTGGGTCTTCGATTTGAATCCTGAACTGAACACCTGCAACTCGAGTTCCATGAATCGAAGTTGAAAGTTGGAGGCACTTTCAAAGAGGCCAAGGGCCTGACAAGGGGGTGCACTTTGACAACCCTCCGCTGAGTTTGGGGAAGCCCAACCTGGTCCTATTTCCCTTTAAAAGGCATAAACATCACCCTTTGGGCCAAAGTGGATCACGTTTTCCTGGGTGATATTTTCCAGGGGCATAGATGATGGACCCTCACAAGGAAAACGTGGCATTTCCCCGCTACATTGGTGAGCCATTTCTTGAAGCAATAATTTTAGGGTTCTCCCATGCGATCCACCCATCTGCATGATGGTCAAAAGACCGGCGTTTTTACTTGGGGTTGGTAGGGATGGTCAGACAAAACCCCGCAGATTCCTAAGGAGTTTTGACCATGGCACAAAAAGCACACATTCAGGGTTGACACGGCATTGGCCTTTTGGGGGTTGGTTTCATGGATCACCAACACCTGAATGGTGCGCCTTAGTAAGACCCTTTCTGGCAAATGCGGTGGACGACCCAGAAAATACATGAAGGGAATAAGGGCAGCCCTGTAGTTCTTCGCGAGATTTAGGGCACACAGCAATGACTTGCTGCTGCTCAGCAGGGCATGAGGGAATGACCCCTAACCATCCCCTACTAGGTCCCCCAGTAGTGCCCTTGTACCGTTTTTTTGCTGTTGGGAGGGTTCCCCTACGAATGTAGACTACAGACAAAAAATCGGGTACCAACTTATTCTAAGCTCCAAATCTGGACCTGGCCCAGGGTTTCCCAGACGACCCGCAGGTTCCTTCCCCGCAGTTTGGGATTTGGGGGGCCACCCTTCGCCCGAGGACCAGCTCACGAAGCTGTGGAAGCGCCAGGAGGGCCGTCGTGTCTTTTTTTTTGAGCGGTGGTTCGGTCGCCCGTGGCGTTTTTTTGTTTTTTTTCTTCGGAGGGAGTGGTGTTTTTTTCGGTCGGTCCGGCGTTTTGTTTTTTTTCTTCCAATGTTTTGGGGGTTGTTGGATGGCCCCAAGTCGGGGCAAACAAAAACCGGGCCGCTTCCTGGATGATTGTTTGGGATTCGACACGAGCCAAACATAGGCTTCAAACGAGCTCTGAGTAGGGATCTACTGTGACTGTTTTCGCTGCACTGCAACAAATATCAAGCCACGCTCTCAGGTCTTACTCCACGTCCAAACTGTTGAACATAACAGTTGAAATCCGATTCGGGGGATTCCCAATCAGCTCCATGGGGTCCGGAACCATTTCCCCTCCGTGTGAGCATCACTTTTGGGCGGGCCACTTTAAGATGAGAATTTCCTCTTGAGGTGATGTTCTTACGGACCGCCCTCTTACGCCTTACGTGCATCTGCTCGCGCAACCTGAGGACACGAGGGGCTTTGGAGGGGGCTTCGAGGGGGTTTGTATTTTTTGCCCATGCTTGCCTTCCAGAGGACAGAGCCGGACCGGGTGCTTGAAGTGGATAATGTTGACCCCGGATGATTAAACCCCGGTTTATTCGTGTCCCCGGTTTTAGCGGGATTTTCACTTTTGGAGGGGAACCTCCCCATATTTATAAACGGGGTTTATGAATTCGGGGTCAACATTACTCATTCGGTTTCTCTTCATACCGGGCAGCTGCACGCTGATGGCAGGTCTCCATGCCTGGAGGTCAGATAGTCCAAGAAAGACACATCCACATGGCAACTTCGATTTCGCATTTGTGGCGGAGGTGATGTCAGAGATTCGAAGGACAACTTGATGAATCGGTAGACATGGACCTGACATGGTGAATCTTTGATCCATCACGTACTTCCATTTGCTTAAGAAAGCTTCTATTGTCCCTTGTTAGTTTTAAAATAAGCAGAGGGAAGTACAAGAGTTCAATCCAGATGCCAATTACACCCAAGAGACGGTGCTCGTTACCCGTGCTGTTATGACTGCATCAATATTGGAAGGGGGGCAACGGCCGGGGGGGTGTTGCTCTTCCCCTATCTGGGATTTGCTTGACATTTCTATTGCACTTTAAGTTCGCTAGTTATGGTTGTCAGGATCTGAAGATGTTGCTTGGCCGAAGCTGTCGTTAACATCGGCCTTATGGTAGCCATGGCCGGGCCAAAGAAAGCAAGTACACACCCATCGAAGAAGGCCCGATGGGTCGCTAGGAGGGTACCTGGCTTTTTGGGGATGGAGGGTTGGTTGGACATGTTGTTTAAACAACCCGCCGCTCCTCTGAGCGAAGCCATTTTTTTTTTCCGGTGGTTGAAGGCCATGTTTCAACACGGATCCCGCGAACCCAGAGAACCTTTTGGCCAGGAATGAGGAATGACCCCGACAGTTTCCTTTAGGGGATCCATTGGTTCATTCCCCTTTCCTTTCTTTGGGGGGGGGGGCTCTGGTTAAAACCACAGGACGAAACCAAGGGTGCCCTACTTTCCCCCTCCAAATCGGGACTCCGCAATTGATTCCCCGCCCATCTTTCGCGCGTTGCGCGGCTTGCGCGAACAAAGAGCACGCCCCGACTGATCAGACGTCAGGTGGCCTGGGCGAAGCAAGTCTTTGGGCTCAGCAGCCACCACCAGAAGCACCTGAACTTTGAGAGCGCCTCGAGCACTTCGAGAAAAAGAGACAAATCTCTCCGTAGTCTTTTAGACATGTGGGACATGGCCGATGGCAGTTTTGTTTTTGTTTGTTTGTTTGATCTGTTTATTTGTTTTACTCTGGTGAAAGACAACCAAGAGGCAAGATAGAAAATATGCTTTTGTTGATCCGTCTTGGTAAGACATCCGAATTTTCCTGGCATATCCAAAATGATTGTACAGTTTAGGGTTTACATGATGTTATGTTGCTTCAAGTGGGGGGGGAGGGGCGACTCACAACCTGTTTTTTGACCCATGAAGTGAAGAGGTAGAATGGAGGTTAGAACAGGTTCGGGGTTGGACAACGGGGGCCTTCCATGAAAGTGACATCCAAGTTTCCCAAGCTGTATAAATTGTGGGTCAACAGGAAACCGTCTCTTGGTGGGATGCTTAATTGTCCCACATCCTTGCAACAAAGGAAGGTTTCTCGTGGGTCACAAGGTACATGTGTTGGTTTTGTTTATGCATTCCTCTTGGCTTTTGTCATTATTTTTGGGCATTGCTGCTGGCATTGTGTTTTGCTTTATGATTGGTCTGCTGCAGGTCCAGTTAGAGTGTTTCGAAAGTACAACAGTGTTGGCTGGTCGTGTATTCCCTAACCCACCATAAAGCTGCTGGTCGGGTTGGTCCCCAATACCACGTTGAAAATGCAGGGCACATGTTCTCGTGGGTGGGGGGGGGGGGGGGAGGGGTCTCCCACCAGTGTCCATTGTCACTTCCTGTTTGTCCATCCTAGCTCAGTAGTGGACGAGAGACGTTACTAAAAGATGACCACTCCACCATGTTTGATAAGAACATTGGAAGGACAAGCGGTAGAAAGGATTCTCTTGTTTCCTTTTCCAGAGGCCAGCTTGCGAAAAGGGGCTTGGGAACAAGCTTGAAACACGCACTTCACACTAGAGCATGGTAGTGGAAAATGGCGGGGGGGGGGGAGGCGGGGGGGACGCTCAGGAGTCCCACGTGATACCCGTTGGGCTCCCCTTGAGTTCAATGGAGATGGGCAAGCAAACGGCCCGCGGGCTCCAGTTTTGGATGAGTCATGAGGGCGGGCTGAACACTGTGAGCCTTTTGGGTCGGGTTGCTCTTGACTTGTCTCAAAAGAAACGAGTCTACTTTTTGCAGGGGCCGAAGACCAACTAGTCGCAGGAATCCTACAAACCTGGGGATCCCTTTGACAAAGACAGCGGGCCTGAATTCAGTTTGGTTTCTGAGACTATAACAAGCTCACTGTGTACCTTCGAGCCTCTTTCGTCCCGAAGGGGAGCGGGCAACATTTCGTCCTCCACCGGTGTTCGCCCCTTGATCCTGCGACAACAAAAGCCCCCCACCCGCTGTTCACCCCCCCCTTCATGGCCAAAGCCGAGACCTCCACGCGAATTACCAGACCCAGAAGTGGGGCCTCATCCCTTTCACGCCGCTCGGAGACAGGGTGTGGTGGCAACCGATTTTTCCCTTTCCGGCTAACCCGGAAACTGGTTCTCGCACAAAGACCCTACCTGGGTTGCCAGTAGCGGTTTTTTTCCCCAGCAGTTGGGACTGTTTGGAGGATGTGAAAAGTTAATGATGCTAGGTTCTGTGATGTGGCGCTCAAAGCTTTCCATTGGTATTACGAGACTTCCGATCAACCCCGGACCAAGTAGTTTGGTTGAAGAGCAGTGAAGCCTGTTTGTTTCCCTCTCCTGGTGTAGAACCACCTCAAGCTAAGAAACCGGCTACGGGAAATCTTATGGGAATTCTTTTTTGTTCTGCAACCTGCCCATATATTCCTGTAGCTGGTTTCTATGAAATGGCGAGCTGCGTCTCAGAAAGATATCGTCTGAACGGGTGACTATCAAAAGCTGCGAAATCGTGGGGCTAGTATTCGTCCTTTGACCCGTGCCGGTGCAACATTTAGATCCACCAGGGTCCAAGTTGTGACTGGCCATGTTGGGGAACGAGTCGGCAACATGCGAAGGCAGTTTCCCTTGGCACACCTTAGCAGCCTTAAAAGGGATACCCTCCAAAGACGCACATCGGGAAAGCACCATGTAAATAGAACCAGAAGGGTCCAACTTGATGTCAGATAGGAAAGGCACCCAGCTGAAGATAGGGAATCCCGCAACCCTCCCAAAGGCTTGCCAAGGTCCCCTTAGATTTCCCTGCAAACACAAGGCGTGGGTTTCAAACAACACTTTTTGGCCAATTGAAGTGAGCTGCTAAGACAAGTACCGGGGCTTGCGGGGATGCCCATCAGCTCTGCATACTTCCTCTTTTTTGCGAGCTCACCGCTTCGGGGGGCACATTACTTGGGGATTATATTATATTCTTCAGTCAGGTTTTGGAATTGAAGACGGAGAGCAACCTTTAGGTTGATAGAGGTTGGGGTCAATAGTGGGGGTTGGGGGGGGGGGCATGTTCGGAGAAGTTTGCAGAACTGATTCTAGCAGTTTTCTAGTCGGAGCGCATATTAAAGAAGGGGATGCCGGAGATGCTGGCTGGGAGATGCTGGCTGGTGATGCCGGTGATGCCAGGGATGGCAATGTTGGCATTTTTTTCACTGATTTGTAAAGCAAACTCCATTGAACAAAAACTGCACACTGGTTCATTGTCTTGACATGCTCCTGTGTAGAATGTATGTTTTTGAAATTTGAATAATTCAGATTAAACATCTAATTTGACAGAGAAATTATGGCTGGATTCTTTCCTTATTCAATTCTATGTAACTCAGTTAGATTTCGGTTAGAAATTGATAAAGATATTTCTGAGGTCCAAGACCATTGTTTTTGCCTAGCCCCGAGCACCACTATGGTCAGAAAACATCATGCAACACAGCGTTCTGTAGCAGTTTCGCGCACAATTGACCAACGGCCGCTCCAAAAAGGACATAGGGCTCAATCAGGACGTACTTTTTTGAATCCTATGTAAATTCTATCTTTAGAGATAATTCCTTGCAAACACATATCCCAGCGATAGGGAAGACTGGAATTTTGGCAAATCCCAGCAAAAACACGGAGACACGCAGTCCCGCACAGACAGGCAAGCAAGTGAGTGAGCGACAATAAACACATACACCATGGTCTAGGTGTTTTTTTGAAGTGGCGGGGTCCGGTGTCTTTGTTTTTGGACTCACATATCTCCTGGGGGGCCGCTTGTTTTATTTCTGAAATCCCGCTTGTTGTCTTTTTTCTTCCCCCTATTGAAATCCGCCTGGGGGTCCCGTTGTTTTTTTTTTTAAAGCATGGGGCTCCGGTGTTTGCTTTTGCTTGAAATCGCCTGGGGGTCCCAAGTTCGGTTTGGTTGAATTCAAGCCTGTGGGCTCGCCTGGTCCGGGATTTCAATTGGAAAAAACACTCGGGCCCACAGGCGTGAATTCAACAAAAGCACCGACCGGAGCTGGGCGGGATTTCCAAAAAAAACCAAAAACACCGGGACTCCCCAGGCGGGATTTCAAAAACAGAAACACCGCCGCATTTTGTGGGCGATGCTGGTATTGCTGGAGATGCTGGCTGGTGATGCCAGGGATGCTGGCTGGCGATGCAGCGTGAGGGCTGAGGACTGTGAGAGTGCGAGTTTCGCTACATGCTGATCTCCGTGTGCATGCAAGTCTGTAATTGTTATTTGCACTTTGCACTTGGATTACTCATGCTAAAACCTTGAATGTTATTGGAAAGGAACCCCGGTGTAGAACGTAATTTGAAATAGAGCAATTCTTATCAACAGTCTGACAGTCTATTGTAAAATATAGTGTATCATTTCATTCTGTCCTTACTGATTGAATTCTATTCAACATTCAGTTAGGCATTGAGTAGACGTTGATAAAGATATGATGTGTTATTTCATGAGGACACAATTCAGCGGTCCAAACATCTTGTTTTACCTAGCCCGCAGCAGTCAAACACTGTAGAACAGTGTCTTGTAGCGTTGTTTGTACTATAGTCACATCTTCGCCAACGGTCACTCTCTAAAGTCCATAATAGAATTTGCATAGGACACAATAACGAAATGCTTATTCTAAATCCTTGGACATCCTATCTTAAATTCAGAATGTGGATAAACATCCTTGCCAAATAGAACTTTACAATTCAATTGGAGTTTCAATAGAATTTGGCAAGGACACAATCTAATCATAGTTTCTATTCTAAATTGGCTTTCAAATACAAGGATAGAATGTACACAGGATGTCCTTTCCAATATAAGTTTCTTTACACAATAGTTAGCATGTCAACATAAGTCATTAATAAAGAGTTCAACTCGCACTTCCATGTTCAGCAAATTTTAAGTAGAATTTCCTTTCAATAAAAGCAAATCCACTGAATCACGCTGCCTAAAACTACACACAACAAAACCCTTGAGAAAGCCACACAACAAAAACACAAAACAATAAACACCATATACATTCTCCCGGAACTCTTGCCACACTGAGTGGCTACCTCTTGAAACCGAGTCTGAGGACTGTTATGTTTGAGATTCCTTGTTAAAATATATATCTCTCTTAGAATTCAGTCAGACTTTGAGTAGACGTTGAAGAAGAATAATTTCACCAGGACATAATTCAGAGGTGCATGCTGCGCCACAGATTTAGGGGCTGTTCACGGCAGTGAAGGACCACCTCCCATCCCCAGAAAGGCTCTGACTTCGCTTATTGTCAACTTTCCTTGAATTGGTGCTTTGGCAGGGTGGTTCGGTTGGGTGGTTCCAAACACACCACTACGGGACCTGATCTTTGCGAGGCTCTTCTGCGCGATCTACGTGACCTTTGTGTCCATGGTTCTCTGGGTCCCGGAGGCCTTGTGTCTTCGGTTTGAAGGTCCCAGGGATTTTCGGAGTGTTCGGAAGGGCCGGCGCAGGGATTTAACCAACAGGCTTCCTGGGAACAGGCTTCCTGGGAAACAAGTTCGGGTCAATTTTAAACATCACCTCAAGCTGAGGGTTTTCGTGTATAGCCAGGTGGTTTTTGGATCCTGTGAGGAGCGCTCTCGCCTGGTGAATTGACTCCCAGAAAGGCCAATGGGAAACGGGAGGTTAAGGCTCGTATATCAGCGATGGATTCATAGCAGTCCTTCAACAGGGAGGTTGAACATAGATGGGTTCCACATATCTTGTGTCTTTGATCCTTAAAACCCTTGAGTGGGTGGCCAGGCAAAGTCCCAACTGTTTGTCTGCCACAAAAAAACGTGCATAAAGTCACGGGACTCGCGAAAAGACCCGCCCAAACCCCAGGCAAACATCATGAGAAGCTTGTTGAACAGCATCAAAATACAAGACACCACTGTGGGGTCGAACGGGGTCTTTGGGTTTATTTTAGGGTCCCAAACATAGCAACTGGGGCCCAGGATTTCAGTCCTTGTAAAGCAGGTAGACCAGGCCTTTTCGAGATGGCAGTCCCTCCGAATTGCTTGTCTACACTTCCACCAAGACGATCAGTATCCCTCTGCCAAACAGCAAACACATAGGAAAGAGGATCAAATGTTCGACCAAGGCTGCAAGGCCAAAAAAGGGGGTGGGTCTTTTTGATGTGCTGCAAAACACACCGTGGGGTTTTTGGTTGGCTGCTGAAAAGACGGCGCTTGCGCCGCGCCAGTCCCACGCGGTGGTGGCCTCGCTGAGCCACGCGCTGCGGTTCCCCACCTTCGGCAAGCCCAACGCCCTCTCCCTGGACCGGGATCCACGCCGGAAGGGCCGGGAAGAAAAACCGGAAAAGCCTGGGGCGCGCCCCGGTTTTTTTTTGGGGGGGGGGAGGGGCTTTTGGAAACCAACGACCCTAAAAGAGAGTTCTTCCCCTTGTTTTTTGTTCTAAGGTGGGGGGAGGTCTTTTTTAAAATCAAGGCCCCGTTTTCCCATACCAACTCGGGTTGTTTACCTTCACCTGGGAGTGACTTTGAGGCTCGCTGAATGTGGTTGCATTTTTCTCAAGGATTACTTGTGGGTCCCGGTGGAAGGCTCTTTTACTCCACCATTTGGAGGGTCATTTTGGAGGATATCACTTTAATGCCTTGGAAGATCAAGCCAGCATGCTGGGGGTCTCCTCGATTTCCACAATTTTTGGCCTGAACTTATCTTTTGGCAAAAATAATCTCCCCCCCCCCCCACCGCCCACTTCTGGACACTCAAATCTTTCTGAGCCCGATACCGTACGCTCCTGAACCTGGGAAGCTAGCCCTAAAAAGGGTTCCGAACAAAAATTCAGCATGGTTAAGGATTTAGTACTGCCACTTTTACGATGGTTACAGCGTGACTAGTGTTTTTTTGCTGCCACCCCTCACATGTTTCAATTCCAATTGTTTCTCGATGCCTCTTGCTTTTATTCCCGATGGGCCAATTGTCAATCATCAATCACTGTTTTGAGTTGTTGACTCAGATAGTTGTAGTCAGTTCCCTTCATTCGGGCGTTTCGTTTTCTCAGATTGTCCAGTCAAACGCAGTTGTGACCAATCAAACTATGAACAAAGATTTGACAGGATCAGTTGCAGTGTGTTCCAATGAAGGGACGAGAAAGGTTTGGACTCACCGCGGTTGTAGAAGTGCTTGGTTCAGTCACCCCTGGAATGATGGTAGCAATG